CTTTATAATAATGTCGTAAAGAAAATTCGACATTTTTACTTTCCATTTCTGCCTCCACAGTCAAGGGGTTAACAATTCCGCCGAGTGTCAACAAGACGGCCCCGGCCGAGCGAAATCGTCAACGCAAGGAGCGCCGTTCTCTTCGGAAAAATGTCGGCGAGCTGCTTACGCTTACGATATCGTTCAACCTGGCGATTCGAAATCGCTCGCCGGCGGACGAGAGCGGAAAATCTCAGCTCGGCCAGGCCGTTGTTATTTCCCGGCAAGTCGGAAAGCGACCCAATTAGCGCGAATGAAAAGCCGCCTCCGCAGCTGGCGCGGCGCGCGAGAAACGTGAGAGCCGAGCGGGTAATTACTCGCGTAATTTCGACGACGGTAGGATTTACGCGGCGACCACAATCTGTATCCTCCTATCACGGTGTCGCTCGATATCGGCTAAACCGGCGATTTCGAAAGCGAAATATTAAACGCGTGCGCACGATTGAGGCCGCAGCCGAGAGAGCGATTCCCTCCCGACCCCTCTTCTCGCTCGTGGAATCGCTGCGGTTTAATAACGCAAAGTTCATTCCCGCGAGCGGTGGCACCTGCGACACCGCGAGAATCGAGGTAACGGCCGTCGCTAATGCTGGATTAGCGAGTCGCCCGCGAATTTCGTAGCATGGTACTTACGGCTGATTGTGCGCGGCTGCCGAGCCTCGCGAGGCTCGGCAGCCGCTCGATTCGTCCTGCCGCGACGAGAGGCCGTACGGGAAATTCGGATTTCGGAACCCCAAAAAAAGTAACCTCAGCGAAACAAGCGAACATGCGGAATCATCTAAATTTTCGAGGATTTTATTCTTATACACGGCCTCAAGAGGATTCCACTAGAGTTTAAGAGGAAAATATTACAAACACATTATGCTCTTCAAAGTTAGAGGAATTATATGTTGTGTGTATAATGCAAATCTTATTGATTTTAATACAAATTTCTTCTTACGCACAGATTACTTAATCTCTTTTTAAGAGGATTATTATTTACTTTTACTATACTTTATTCCTTACTGTTACACTAGTACTACTTACGGTTACACTAGTTAATTTAAAAAAATTATTATAACGTATACCGAAAAGTAATATATATGTGTATATAAATGTACTTCTGGCTGCAGTTCTGCAATAAGTGGGCACGGATAAAATAAGATCGTCATAGCAAACAAATTTTCGATCAATTTTGTTATGTTTTGTTCACAGTGTTACAAAAGTGTTCGTCATAACCAGTTGTGTGAAACATAGTTAAAAGGAAGAATATATTATTCGACTTCTTGCAATAGATTATAAACTGTATTTGACCAAATGTAGGTGAATTATCTTCGTTATATCTTACAGCAACACGCATATCTTTTTTAAAAAGCGTTCCGAATATTTTGATCCATAAGCATGATTCTTTTTTCGTTCACGTCTGGCGGTAGAACATGACTGAACCAAAGAAGCCGACACTCCAATCAACATATTCCTCTTTATACAAAAAGGAAAATGAATTGATATAAGAAGAAATCCTCTTGAAATAAGAGGAAAACCGTTGGAATAGTATTTAATAAATTTTAGATGAATGGTTTACTTTAATCGCTTTCATCGAAAGAGGAATCTTTTTCCTGTCTGTAAATGGCTTCGCTTAGAATATGAGACCAAGGGAAAAATCACTTTACAAATGGAATACTCTTTTTAGGTGGGGCTCGTCAATAGTGGCCATTTTTATTTCTTCAACGCGGTTAGAGCTGACGCCGGATCGATTGCCAATACGTTCTCGAGAGAAACCACCCGGAAGAGTCTTGATTTCAAGATGGCGATGGCCACGCTGAGAGATAAATATCCGTTGGCTAATTCAACACGCGCCGCGTGTTTGTCGTTGGCCAACGACACTTGAGACGCGGAGCTTATTTTTCGATGAAACCTTAACTGATCGGCGATCGTTGATTGTCGGACAGTGCGTGGCAGCTGGGAATCGCGGAAGCCACCAGCGCGCGCGCTTAAGATTGGAACTCTGGGTGATTTTTCTCGAGGACGGCTAGAGCCTCAAATTATCCGCTTGGAATCGACTCTTGTCGACAAATGTCTCCAAAATCAGGCGACACGAGGCTGCATTCTTCTGTTTCCTTTCCGGCCGCGCACGCAGAGGAGGATCGGCGGAACGGCCGACTTGCTAGTTAATTAAGGATAATAGGTTTCATGTTTCGCATAACGACGGTTCTCGTGTGTGGAGTTTTGTAGTCTCGAGAAACGTTTGCGATCGACGACAGGTCGCTGTACGATGCAAAACTGTCGCCGAAACAACAACTTTGTCGGGCAATGGTGAATCATAACGACGATAATTAACATTTGCTCTTTACTGTCACTGATGAATGGTCTGATGAACTAATTCATTTTTTATTCTTTCCTAAAGATTACATATATTTGTTGCATATGGTTCAAGCACTACCATGAAGTGCTCACCCGTTATCGGTAATCTGTTATCAGCAATCGCAACTCCTTGCTACCTCCTTGTTTTTAGTTTTTTGTTTTGAGACACGAGACACGAGTACATTGCGCGTTGAGACTTGAGACAAAGACTTGGCGCATGAAACGGCCTTGAAATTACAAGTCAGCCATTCTGCTGAGGCCCCAAGGCCCATATTAATAGTAATGACCGCAAACTGTCTCGCGTGGGATTTAAACTTAGGGGCGGTGCTCGTAATATATAATCGGATCTCGCGTTTAAGATCATTTCAAGTTTGTCTTCGCTGCACGACTCGTTTCTCTCGTGGGGCGTCCGCACATAAACTTGTAAAACGATCTTCGATTGAATATCCGACTATAAGTAACGCCTTTAGAATTCAATCCGCGGTCTTTTTATCGAATCAGGGTATTGCATAATGCGCAAGAAGATTTTTGACAATTTTTCTTTGGCGAAAGTGCCCAGGAAGATTATTACTTGTAACGTCTTCTTGATTTTTACACACACGTCGCTCACAGGTAAAATCTCGCATTAAAATGCTGTTAACCCTTTGAGGCACGTATTTTTCAGAAAATCCGAATCTCATGAAATTTTACGGGGGAAATATATGGGGGTTTCTTCTCTCTCACTGATGACGAATCCATTATCAGATTTTCGAAATTCAAGATGGCGGACGCAAGAGTAAAGAATCGCGATAATCTCGGTGACAATGGATATTGTGGGGTTTTTGCAGTCGCTGATTACGAATCCGTTATCAGATTTTCAAAATTCAAGATGGCGGATGCAAGATAGCGGCCACAAATGAAATGAAAAATCGCGATAATCTGGAATGCGCCATCTTGGAAAATGAATTTTAGAATGTAGACCTCAAATTCGTAATCAGCGACCTCAAAAGCTAATCAGAGTACAATTTTAGCTAATTTAATAAAAATTCTGTAATCCGCCATCTTGAAAAATTAATTTCGAAATTTGGACCTCAGATTCATAATCAGCGACCTCAAAAACTAACCAGAGTACAATTTTAGCTAATTTAATAAAAATTCTATGATACGCCATCTTGAATCCGCCGTCTTGGAAAATTAATTTTTAAATTTGAACCTCATATTCGTAATCAGCGACCGAAAAAACCCTCAAATCTTGATTCTCAGCAAAAAATTCACTCATAGTTCGTGGAAAATGATTTTTTTCTGTAAAAATGTGTATTTTTCACACTTTGTTTATTTATAATAAATGGACCACTTGTGCAAAACACTTTTCAACCTTTCATGTATGTTACCATGTCATATACGAAGCTAAAAGACGCAAAAAACCCGACAAGAATCCCTCAAATATGAAATATTTTCTTGAAAATGTGAGAATAAATACGTGATAAGTATACTTATCGCTATGCCTCAAAGGGTTAAAATAAAGCCCGCTTGAAACTGATCGAAGGAAATAATTTTGTCATCCATTTAATCCGAGGCGGGAAATCCTCCTCTGATCACTGGCATCTCGAAAGCTACGCTTCAACATTCTTCTTCCAAAGAAAAGTATGTCAAATTTTCATAAAAAGCGGACAGCGCTGTTTAAATAGTGATCGCGAATTACGGAACACCCTGTATGCTTACGTCTCAACGCAAAAGTTTAACCCTAAACTCGCACCGAACATCTCATGTGAGAATGGTTTCGACTGTTATTAACATTCAGCTGAATCCATCAGGATACGATAATCGTGAGGCGCGCACTCCGTTATTGCGTGTGTATGAGGAGACATTTAAAAATGGCCGCCGCTTTCTCAGCTGCCCGCGCTAATGTGCGCGGTTTTTAATTTCATCTAATAATTCTTTATCTCGAAGAAAATTGTAGCTGTATCGCGCGAAGAGAAATATCGTTCCGCTGCGAAGAGAAGCAATTTACTCTTTCCTTTGGATAACGAGTATCTCCTCGACAAAAAATATTACAAAAAAATGCACTCTCATCAAAATTTTTGGAAAAACTCATTGTCATGTACTGAGAAAGAGAACGTATCCTCCTTCAAAGGATATTATAAAACTTACAGGAAAGAGAAACAAACCCGAAAATTTAATATTCTCGGTTTAACTTAACACCCTCGGTTTGTTTGAAGTTAACTAAACTTGCCTAAGGGATTCAGAATATATTTTGAGCAAATTCGATTGAGCAAGCACTCGACGCAAGTGACTTGCTAGGATGCGGCGTGCATTAATTTTTCATATTTCCGCAGTCGGCTGTCTGCAGAGACAGCGAGACGGTGAGTCTCTCTCAGCCAAGTCTCAAATCACCTACCGAGATTCAGCTGATAAGTGGCGAAGGTCGTTCATATTCATGGCCGAATCTCATACTCGGATCTAAATGTAGAGTCAAATCTAGATATGTAGAGACCTAGGCTCTTATATTTCACAGCGCCTTCGGTTCACCTCGGGATGCTGCGAGGGCCGCTTAATCGGTCACACGGCACCTCAGGGTGAAAATAAGACAATCTCAAGTGGAAGATCTGACTGTGAATATGCCTAAGTAATTTTTCTGCACGCAGACTCCTCGAGATCGAGCTGCAAAGCGCAGAGGAGATGGACGCGACGAATCTGCAAGGTCTGGTGCGCGCGATGCTGAAGCAGCAGCAACAGAAGCAGCAGCAGCAGCAGCAGCAGATCGAGCAAACGCCCAACGACAGCTACCCGAACCCCGAGGTGATCCCGCACTCGATCGTCGGCGTGCGAGACATGGGCGGGCTGAGCCCCAATTACCGCTTGGACACCTTCGACGACGACAAACGCGTCTTACTGAGTCCACCGAAGCTGCAGAGCCTCGACGAGAAGCTCTACTACCTGAAGAGCGGTCGACCCAAGGTCTACGTGAACGTGCGGGGCAATAGCGGTTCTTTCCGCAAAGGGGAGACCACGTCGCCGAGCGCGACCCCGAGCGAAGGCCCGTTGGGTCTCGTCAGGGTGACGCGACCCTTCGAGAGGCAGACCGAGCGGAAGGTTCGGAACAAAAAGGCTCGACCGCCGAAGAAATTCGACCGTCGCGTCGACGGGATCGTCGTTCTGGCCAGCGAACAACTCGACAAAATAAACGACCAGGGAGCGTCCTACGGAGCTGACGACCTGTCCACCACGGAGAACTCGGTGGTCACGTCCAGCGAGCTGCCGAAACAGATACCCGCGCCGCCCAGCCGAGCCCGAGGACGAGTGCTGATGGTGCAGACCACGCCTGTGCAGAGGTACGCGCTGAGGAGGACGGATATCTTGCCGGGATACGGCTTCACCAGCGACGAATGATCGCGCGGTCTCTCGAGAGACCGCGCGACCGCGACGCCACCCTGAGGATTCTCGCGACATCTTGTTCTCGCGCGCGTCCGGCGCGCGTGTCGACGACGAGCGACAAATCATCGTGGAACGCGATGAGAAGGCAGAATTCCCGAGCGAGCCGACGCTTTCGCGCCGATGTCGCGGCATTCTGGGAAACTTTAACTGGGAGGGGAGGGGGGTGTAGCTGTGATTGCACGAAAAGAGGGATAAAAGGGAAGGAAAGAAAAACGGAGAATGTCTTCGCACTCGACGACGACCTGGCGCGATACGCACGTTGAATTCGACGCCGAGTGCGAGCCTCGGGCTTAATTTATGCTGAGCATAACAATCTACGATAAGATACGCATAACTCGTTATTTATATAATTTAATATATGCTTGTGTAATATAGAAAGTCGACTAATATAGAATTAAGAGAGTGCAAAGTAATATATTAACTCGCAGTTGAGCAATAAAATGAGCGAGAAATCGAATCGTCGTCCTCGTCGTCCGTGTTGTCCCTGCGCTGTCTCAGCGCTGTCCAATTTGCAAGGTTGAGAGGAAGTTAATTTTTTTTAATCTAACTCTCCGGGAGAGCAAGGGAGGTTCTATATAATTACGTATATAAACTTGTATACAATTATATGTGCGAATTGTGCAGGAGCATGAGCCACGTATGAATTTTGTTTCCACACGGCCACATATACCCATACGGCGCAAAAAGTTGCAGCAACATTGCTGCAACGTTGCTGCAACTTTTGTACTGTATGGATAAAATCGCACATGCAATTATACACGTCCGTGCGAAAAACGAAGCTATTGAGTGAAAAGTGAAAAGAACCTTTTCAAACATCGGCGTCTTTCGGGTTACCACAAATGTATGCAGTTATCTCAATTGTGCTTGTATAACATTTTCTCCGTACAGAATTTAGATAATTCTGGAATTGAAATAATTATGTATATAATTATCGGCAATGTGTGAAAAGCAGGCATTGTATCGAATAGAATAAGAAATCTATAGAATGCGTGACAAAATATGAAAAGAGAGTCAAGAAAAGGCCTTTGTCGAAAAGACGTGCATAAAAATGAAAGAAGAAATACAACGTAAAGTATAGGACTTTTTTACTGAAAGAAAAAACAGCAAAAGGAGAGGTCGGTATTTGAAAATCCGGTACTGGAAGAAAAAATGGAAAGCATTCAAACAATACAACAAGAAAAAACAAATCACTCTATGCAAGTGACAGAGAGCCTATTGTACAAAACACGGATGAGATTGTAATTCACGATGGAAAAAACTAAAGTGATGGTGAAGACATGGTTACTGGAGATGCTTCCATTTCTGCTACCTGCTGTGTCTGTTTAAAAAAAAAAAAAAACCAGGAGTTAGGGTTATGTTAGATTAGGTTAGGTTAGGTTAGGTTAGGTTAGGTTAGGAAAAAAGGTCTTTATTGAAAAGACGTACATGAAAATGAAAGAAGAAATGCAAAATAAAGTAGCTCGCCATGTGACAATAAAAACGTCGCAAGCTATGGTGTTTTATACTTTGCCGGTTTGCCTTTTGGCGCTATGTAGAATCTCAATTTTCAATTCGGCTCAAATTTTAGTGTATATATCCATGTTTGAGAGTGAATTTGATGACGATTGAGTGGAAATATTCAATACCTGAGTTTTCTCCGTAAGGAATGCCTAGGAAATGTGTGAAATATTCAGCGTTTCATACTTGACGTCTATTTTCGGCATTCTATAGACTTCTTAGGCATTCTATACAATGCCTAATTTCACACATTGACGGTAACATATACAGGGTGTCCCATTAAAAATGAGCCAGTTAAAAATCTTGAAAAATATGAAAGATACTAAGAGACGTTTCGGACAAAAGTTATTAAAATTAATTCGTAGGGAAAAGATGATGTAATAGAAAATTGGTGTTTCCGTCTAAAGACAAGTAATGATCAGTGAATATCTCGAAAATGGCGCCATTTGTAAACAAAATGATACAGTTGTTTTATGTTCCCTTTGATACTATGTAACTTTTGTCTGAACTTTGGTTTGTTTCTTAGTATCTCTGATATTTTTCGAGATATTTTACTAACTCATTTAAAATGGGACACCCTGTATAATTATATACGGCTACATGCTACACAAAGACAAAATATTCATGTACCGTAATGTATAATTATTTTTTTCTCAAGCTGTTCTCTCGTTGCTCGCCGGTATAATCGTTCTTCGAGGAGCAACGAGTCGTTGCGGTTTCCATTGCCTTTGCATCAAGTTTTCAAGAGCTTCCTTTAGAATTCGCTTCTGCCCGCCCCGCCATACATATGTATTTTACGTGTTCAAAAGAGAAACGGTAAAGGTAACAATGTAACAGCTCCACAATGTAATTGCGTTACCGTTGCTGACAAGAAGAAGTAACGTCGTTACCAAGTCGTCGTTACCGAAAAAAAGTCACTAATGACGGTAATTAAGTAACACCTTACTTCCAGTCTTGTCGATTCGTATAATCGACGAAAGAGTACGACGAAAAGCACACCAGGGTCCATATCGAGCACGAGTCGCGAAGTGAACGTGACGTCAACTCACCTGTTCCGCCTTTAACGTGAGCTCGATAAAGATCTGCTGCAACTTCTCGTTCACGAAATTGATGCAGAACTGCTCGAAGCCGTTCTTCTCGAAGATCTCGAAGCCGTATATGTCCAGAATCCCAATCTCGTATCCGTCCGCGTTCGTCTCCATGGCCGAATTAACTCTCTGCGAAGTCGGTCATCGTTGTACAGCCAGTGAAGGATAATCAGAAAGAAAAGCAATACCCGCAATTAGCAATTATAAGATAAAATTGTCCGATAGAATTCCGATGCTTCGGCGCCGAAATGGGCGAACGAACAAACGATATACCTTGACTAGATAATCAAAGAGCCTGGCATAGATGTCCTTTGCTAGTGCATCCTTCGCGTAAAGCGCCTGCTCCACGTTCAACGTCACATCCACGCTCTCCGACTGACTTCCCCATTTTGACTCGAACTCTCGCGAGATCAACTTGTGCGCCAACTGCTCCGCCGAGATCCCGAAGAGGAAAGCCGGGAACTCGAGAACTGTAAGGTAATTATACGGAGATGAGAGATGGCATCTTCACGCGAAAATGATATTGGGAAGGCACGCGTGAAAATCACGCACACGTGCGTCGGGGCCACCGTTTTTCCACATAAATAAATTGTAAGCCCGTTTCACACGTTAATCAGCTGGATAAAAAAATTAGGATGAAATTAGATAAAAATACGGTGCAAAAATTGCATTAATTAATTAATTAAATAAAAGCGGAGAAAGAAGAAAGAGGAAATATCTCTGTATATCTGTGTATGTGTGATCTACAGAGTGTGTTAAATCTTTCGCCGAGAAAAAAATTTTTATAGTTAAATAAATAAAAAAGTAAAAAAATAAACATATCGTCTGCACAGCCGCGACATATAGGCTGGATCCGCACGTGTTTTGGGATTAATTTATCGGTGGCGTTTGCATTATAAATTATACGGAGATCAGCTTCGCAGATGACGCGAAAACAACACGAAGACAAGAGCGATATTCCGATTATAGATGGTGGCACGTAAAAATTCACCGACGCCGCTTAACGTAGTCCGACACATCGAGAAGCGAAGAGCCACGGGGCGATGAAGCAGTATTTATTAACGAGACACTCAGGTACGTTGCAATTTAGTCATTTAATACGCGCGCCGCGGTGTGCATCTCGGCTTCTCGGCGACTTCGACCCACTTACATTGTTCATCGGCTACTTGCGAGTAATTGCCCCTCTCGGCGAACTGTACGTTTCCCACGTGAAGAATTCCAGCCACCACTCTGAATATATCCATCATTTCTGCGTCCTTTATTCCCATGACGCTCAGTGCTGCGAACGAGACGGAGGTCATGGAAATTAATTAACAACGGGAATAAAAGAAGTCTCGACGCTCGCGACGTTTATAAACATTGAAAATTAATATAAACGAGTGAAAAATCAATATCGCACTGCGAAATCTACGCATTGATCCTTACTGGTTCGTTGCTTTTTAACGGGATTGTTTCTCACATCGGAGCCTTTTTTCTTTTTTTTTTTTTTTTACGAGGACCGCTTAACGCACCTTTGAGGGTTTCCTGAAAGTCACGAGCGTCGTTCGTGCCGTCCACCTTGTGACTGCCGCCGTAACTCAGGTACTGATAATAATCCAGGTCCGTCAGTCCGAGTTCAGCTGCGTGAAATTTTAATCGTTCCCTTTAAATCGCCAACGCCAATTGTCGTCTCTCGCGACACATTTCGAAACATATTTCTCCACGCTCGACGGTACTTTCATTTCGACGACTTTCAGCCCGTCCTTGTACTCACATTTCATCGCTTCGTTGGTGCCCGTGGCCAGCTGATAAAATATATGGAAATTTCGCTCGCCGGAATTGTGGCAGGTCACTCTCGACTTCTCCAGGAGGAAATTCGAGATTTTGCCTCCGCTCGGCTGACCGCCCGACCCAAACTGCATCTCGACGTATTTTCCCTGAAGATTTAGGAAACTCATTGTTCTCATTGTCTATCGCCTTTCATTTTGCGTCAACCGCGAACGCGGTTGGAAATGCTCCCCCCCCACATTTTTCGACTCAACGTACGAATCGGCTGCTGTTGTTGTTCCTTATGGTCTTCGCGTTGCCGAAAGCCTCCAAGAGTGGATTCGACTCCAGGATTATATCCTTCACCCCCTGCACCTTGTCGCCACCGCCGCTCACTCTCGCCACGTAGGACATTATGTACTTTGCGGCGACCGTCTTTCCAGCGCCGGACTCGCCGCTGTGGGCGACGAACGATTTCGGTAAAATTTGTGCTACGCGCGCTTCTCTCCGTTCGATCGAGCGGGAAGGTTTCTCTCTCTTCTCTCCAAACTTACCTAATAATGACGCACTGGCTTTCGTTGTCAATCAGCATGTTTCTGTACATCTCGTCCGCCAGACCATAGATGTGCGGTGGGTTTTCATACGGTGCCTGAATATCAATATCGCGATGACTTTGACGATATTCTCATCTCCACGAGATATACAGGGTGTCCCGTATAGTTCGCGTCCTATCATTCGCCGCATAGAGCTGACGTTCGTCGCCGATTCTCTGACAGTTTTTTTCGTAGAGAAAATCTCGAGCTAGGTCATTATTTCTAGTGACTTTCCGCGTCTTTGAAAAGCTGGGTCTCAGGCGGAAATTCTTAAATTTAAATATAATAATAATAATAATAATAATTATTATTATTATTATTATTATTATTATTTTATATTCTTAAATTTCTTGACATCTTTGCTAAGACGGTAAGAGTCGGTCCGATTTGAATGAAATTTTACAGGTACGTAATATTTGATATAAATGTAATCGAATGCTATAATATTTAAATTTTGATCATTCAGTCCAATTTACGTTTGCCGAGACTTTGATATGGAAAATAATGAAAATTCGAAAATATTTCACTAAAATATTTTATTCTATTATTATATTAGAAAACTGCACGTGCAATATTGTCGTAGCATATCAAAATATTATTGAGAAAAAATATCTTAAATTTATTTCCTCATCTTTTCGAAGTAATCGTCATCTAAATAATAAAAAAATTGAGAAAATTAATTTAACCTAATCTAATCCAATCGAACTTGATCTAATGTATTCTTTTAGAATAATAATATTTTAACAACACTGTACGCTTACAGTTTCCTGATACACTTTAATGGAATGAAATACTTCGGCAAAATGTTTTTGTACATCAATTATCTTGTCATACAGGAATCCTGAAAGACGTTAATTAATCCGAATAATTAATAAGTAGACATTTTTCCGCACATTCGCGTTTATGGCATTCGACTATATTCAGTGAGCATTACGTGCATGTAAAATCTTATCAAAATCGACGCATGATGATCTGCAAAAATCAAGCCGCTGAAACAAAGGCTGAAACAAATTCGCGTAAAAATAGCGCTGTGCAAAATTACGGGACACCCTGTGTATATCGGCGAGAGAAATCACAATCACCGCCATACTCACCGCGCCCTGATATATTTCGATCTCCTTCTCCCCGAAATACGGCATCTGCTTGAAGGGATTGATCGATACCAGCACGGGCCCGATGCATGTCTAACGGCCATTAAGGAACATCTCGCGTGTCACTGTCAATTAGGCTACTGTGCTAATCGCGTGTCAGAATTTACTATCGAAAGGTGGCTCGAAGCATCGCACAAGCTCGCTAAACCGAGAGTAAGAAAATGCTCAATCAACGTGGGCTCGGCTCAATCCTTTCAGAGTAAACGGCGATTTCCTACAGTGTGAGAACACAGGCTTATCGCGAACTGCACGACGTCTTTTATCGTCTTATCAGTTTGACAGGTTTAATCCGGTTATACGACAAGCATCCCGTGTGTAGAAAATCGCCTAACCCGAAGGGATCGCGAGCCGTGAATCTGCGTCGACTGAAGACTTTTCTTCTTCAATTTTCTTTTTCGCCGCTAAGTTGCGAGCGCGGAGTTTCGAGCCATCTTTTAACCCTTTAACGCCCGACTTCTTTGTAAGCGTTTCAAGAATAAAATTTGAGTTCTTTTGACCTGAGACTGTAAGTAACGATAACCAAAAACAAATATGAGAATTTTATATTGGTTTTTTATCGTTCGTTTTTTGTTCATTGGTAAATATGACTTGGATCCTGACAGCAAAATGTACAAAATGAGCAACTTATACAGAGAAAAATGAAGGGTAATCTATACGACATAACTCTGATAGCTTGACATTTTTGAGCTGAGACTTTACTACATCTGTGAGTGAAGTTTATCATTCAGAGCGTCAAGCTTACTATTTCAGAAGAATATCTTATAGATCACCACTTAGATAGTCCCTTCATTTTTTGCCGGATAAAAAACTGTAGGTCACCAGGTTTCACGAAAATAGGTTGATTTCTTGATTTTCGTGTCCACCATATTGGATTCCACCATCCTGAATTTCTGTATTCTTTTAATTTCGCATTTTGCATCTGAGAAAGCTTGCAAATGTATAAAATTATAACAGATACCAATCTATTCATTTGCACAGCGCACTTCTAGATGTCAGTAACAATGCTAACTATGCCTACTTGGAATTTGACAAAACATGTTAATTTAACATGTTAACATTAAAACTGAGCTAAAAACAGATTAAATCGAATCTACATACCATTTTTTAAAAGAATTCACCTTTACCAGTGGTGCAAAGAAAACGAAAATATCTTCTTTTTTGACCAAGTCATGGATTCTTAAACGCATTTCTGGTAACTATAGTTACCAGTGGGCGTTAAAGGGTTAACAATATCTGGTGTATACGTTTATAACATACACGCTTATTCGATACACGCAACTCTCCGAATGTCGACGATGGGAAAATCGATGTCCCTGACGAAAGGATACGAATATGTAATCGTCCATGTATCTCTTTTTGAGATTTTCGATAATGGAGTCCTCGTTGATCTTCGGAAGGAGGACCATGTCGTCCACGCCGGATACCTTGACATCTTGACTCTGCCAGTGATATACCTGAGAGGCGGAATACGCTAATTAGATAATGAAACGACTCACCCTCAATGTGTAATAATCGATAGAAATTCCGCTACGAAGGCTTGTAAAAGCCGGACGCGAGTTAAATAATAAAATATTAAAATATATACAACCATGTGTGTTACGATATTACATTATAATATTTCACAATTAATGTAATATAAAGAAAATGCTTCTTCGGATTTTCTCGATTATTACGTCACATCGAATTTGTACTGCATTTTACATTGATTTTATTATACATTGAGGGCCTCAATTGGATCGAAACATTCATAATATTTTATTGTGCTCCTTATTATATTAAGATAGATAATTGCTCATAAATTTTTTTAGACACACTCAGAACTTTCATTCTGCTCTTTTGGGCCTTTGCAACGGAACTTGCCCATCGTATGTCCATACAGCCCTATTTTTAATTCCTTTTCCAATGGATTTTCTAATTTTCGGAAACGCAGTGGTGTTGATCGACGACGACGAACGTGACAAAGAAATTGGCGCGGACGCCGATAAGTCGAAGACGTGAATCCAATTTGGATTTTTTCTGCCGTCCATGTTGGACGTGATGTTTCTCCGCCTCGACACGGACCGCCGATTCATCGATCGTTTCCGTTCTTCTTTCGGCCGTAGACCCGGTCTCTCTGTGGTCTCACCAGCCGGATTACAATATCGCGTTCATTTGCTCTCCTCGCATGAAGAGGCAAAAACAGTTGATTTAAGGCTTAAGGATTAACGGTTGATGACGGTAAACGAACCAGACGTATCTCAATCGGAGAAAACAGAATCAAATTCGCTTCTACACCGAAGAAAAAAGCGCCACTAATATTTACTATATTAAAGTAAAGTAAAGTAATTACTCGAATAATCCTTAAGAGTCCAAACGGACCCTTCTCAAAATGAAGAAATCTTTTTTCTTATTCCAGTAATAAGCACACTGTCGTCAGAAAACTAATACATGTGTAAACTGGAAAAAACTCACTAGATTTAGAAAGAATAATATTTCAGTCAAGGCGACGATTGTTTATATCGGAAGAATATCTGAAAATTTCTGAGGGAAGATTTCGTTGCCGACGAAACAGAAATATTTACACCGGTTGAATAAATAGAACGCTGAATTAAAAAAAATATAATGCTAAACGAAAGCAAAGTTTTCTTTTTTTTTAAGTTAGAAGAAAGTGAAAACACTAAGTTTCCTCGCAATAGAAAGAATTATTATATAATTCTGGTAAACACTGCTCTTAAAAATACTGAACGATTTATTGTATTACATTCAGAAATTCACTTACATATCAAGACATTGCGTTAAAGTAAATATTTACTGCGAGTCTTCAAGATACACTCAAATTGATAACACCGATTGACATTGTCCTGATGATAACGAATAGTATTGTGTTCACTTGATTCTAAGAAATCCCGTTTCCCGTGTACATATCAATCAATTCCATTAATAAAATCAACCGAGAGAGAACGTTTCGGCTTTCCACTTACTTTCTCCGTAGCGTTGGTGACACATCCGAAAATCTTATTTCGCAGGTAATCTTTTGTAAAATATCTGTACATCTCACTTCACGCTTTGTCGGACCAAATATTCTATTGTTTTCCTCTTTTATTCTTCTCTTAGACACACACGGTGGACGATAATTCGCGCAGGCGACGAGTAGGAAGATTCGCACTTCGATTAGCGAGTTCGGTTGTGAGAGAACTGACGCAAGTGGGCATCGTATGAATGGAAGTTCAGCGTGTGAAACGAGTATTCTCGGTTACACGTGGCGTAGCATCGGCGAATGTGAGAGAAATCGAAGTCAGCGCATATGAAACTTCCGGCCGGGCGATTCTCTTTCGTCGGATTCCGCCTAACGGGGAAGCCCGGCGTGTCGTATTAATTGCCGGCCCCTTTTGCCGTGCACTTTGTGCGGGCAGGGAGCATTATCTTGCAAACTGCATTTTAAGCGACGGACATTGCCGGTTATTGCCGGTGAGATGACCGGTCAAGGTCGACGAGCGGATTCGAGCAAGTGACAGGCATATTTATCACGCAGACTGTAAAGAGATCTATACACACACATACGCATTTTATTACACAAAGTGTATAAAAAGCACCAGCGCGGCGAAATATCTCGAAAACTAAATGTTTGAGAAAAAAAGGGTTTCAGAGTTGTATGGTTTTAAGGAGGACATAAAACAACTATATCAATTTGTTTGCAAATGGCGCCACTTTCGAGATATTCACTGATCATTACTTTTCTTAAATAAAAACCTCCCATTTTTTTTCATATCATCTTTTTCTACTAATTAATTGGGACAACTTTTATTTGAAACATTCTTTTGTTTGCTCGATACTTATTGAGATATTTAAGGAAATTTGGTAACTTTTTTAATATTTAACTTACGATATCTCGTTAACTATTTGTCGAAAGAAAAAATAGCATTAGACTTTTTTGCTCTGTTTGATCTCAAGGATATATTGTTACGATAACATTTTCAGACTTTTGTTAATTTGATGATTTTGAAATTTCGAAAGGTCGATAAGTTAACAAAAAGTTAAGGCGCTATTGTAATAATATATTCTTGGGACTAAATAGAGTAGAAAAGTCTAGTATTATTTTTTCTTCCGACAAATAGCGAGATAAGTGAGATATTGAAAAAATTTTATCAAGTTTTCCTTGATATCGTAAATTTCCTTGATATCTCTTATTAAGTTTTCCTTGATATCTCAAATTTCCCTAATATCTCTTATCAAGTTTTCCTTAAATATCTAAAAAGATATCAGGCAAATAAAAAAATATTCCAGACAGAAATTGTTAAAATTAATAGGTAAAAATGATACAATAAAAAATTTTGCCGAAAAAAATGATATAATAAAAAATTGAAATTTCCATTTAAGAGAACTTAATGAATGAGAATTTAACGATCAGAATTTAATGAACATCTCGAAAGTCGCACCATCTGTGAACAAAATGATATAGTTGTTTCGTGTCCCCCTTAAAACCATACAACTTTTATCTGAAACATCCCTTTCCAAAATGCTTACAATTAGTTTTCGAGATATTTCGCCACCCCGATTTTTCTACCTTTCGTACACCCCTGTATGCAGGTGAATACCGAGGGATTCGAATTTTGAAGAGATTGAGAAATTCGCTTCTATCGATCCAAATCGACGTCCTCATCAATTTGTGTCCGATACCGACTGTACCGCGAAGCAATTTGCATGGACGTGACGCGCGAGTGCTCCCGTAAACAGACTATAACGATGTGAGGGAAAGTGAAGGAGAGAAGGAAAAAGGAGGAGGACGACAAATAGAGCGAGAGGGAGAGAGAAGCGTTTGTGCCTGCTCCGCGACATATTTTAATTACGCTTGCAATAGTATGCAGAGAAAAGTATCACAGTTTGCTTAACACTCTGCAACGACGATGAAAGTCAAATAATGGACTAATAAATGAAGCATGAAGAATGAAGATGAATCCGGGAGAGCAGAAGGAATAAAAATGAGAGATACGCGGAGCGAAACACACGGCTCATTAATTACTCGAGAAGAGGAGAAGCGGCAGGAGGGAAATGGGAAAGGGGGCAGAGTACATCTCATCCATCAAAAGAGGAAAGGGAGAAGTTGAGAGAGTTATTAAAACGCCCAACGCGAAAAATGAAAGCCTCTTTGTTCATCCATTCGTCATCGGGCATTATCGACGCTCCCGCATGTTTCTTGTTTATTCTCCCTCTTCCTCTCTCTCTCTCTCTCTCTCTCTGTCTCGCTTCGCGAAAGTCTCTTTCTCGCCTCCAAAAATCAGCGTCTCCAAATTCGCGAGACTTCCCGCAAAAATTCACTTTCCCAAACTTCGGTGAACCGAGTATTTTCCTCCCCCCTCCCCCCCTCCCCCGCACTCTCCCTCACCCGAGGCTTCTGCTCATCACGGTGACGCGCGTGGACGAGCAGATTTTCCGCCGACAACGGCGTCAACTGACGTACGCCGAGCACGCGCCTCGATTGCATCCCGCGAGCTCCATCACAGAGAGAGAGAGAGAGAGAGAGAGAGAGAGAGAGAAAGAGAGAGCCGCTTAATGAAGATCGATGGGGCTACTGACCGCGCGCGCCTAATCGATCGCATAATACTGCCCCCTCGCAGGGAGGGAAGCGCGCGTGCCGCCGCGCGGCGCGGCGCGGCATGGCGCGCCGAGCCGGGCCGAGCGGAGAGGCATGATTTCACGGCTTCCGTTAGGCCGCGCGTGCAATGAAATTGTCTGTTCGTTCACCGCAGTTCCGCCGCGCCGGTACGGTCGCGGTCAGGGAGAGACATGTATGCGTGTCGCTGCATCGCCGAGGGTCCGACGACGGCGACGGCGACGACGACGACGAGAGTCCGACGCGAAAGTATAAAGCCTGCGTCACACTACGGATTGAAGATCAAGGATTGCGGATTGAAGATTGAAATTTGACCAATCGGAATAAAGTAAATCAAGACCGAAGTTCGTCGATTTGTCGGAATCTAATCTTCAATCCGCAATCCTTGATCTTCAATCCGTAGTGTGACACGGGCTTTACGCGCGCGAGTGCCACGAACGGCGGACGCTCTCCCCATTTTCGCGGCGATCCGCGCCGCCGATCGACGTTTTGTCATCCCGCCCGGTTAACTCGCACCGCCGCCACTGCCGATCGGACGATAAGGTCAATCTGTCGTAATCGTTAAGCGTGTAGGCCGACGATGACAAAATAATGCGCAGGAACGAGGAAACGCGAGCGAGAGCGAGTGAAACTCGCGGATTCACGCCGCCCGGCAAGTTTGCGGTGATTCGCCCTCCTCCACGCTTTTCCGCGCGACTCCTTTTTCCTTTGGTTTGTTGCTTCCTTGGTTCCCTCCTGCGTTCCGCGCTGGGATACTCGGGGACGTGCTCGATCGAGATTTCGAAAGTTTCTTCGCCCCGCTGAGTAAAGACAGGCCGCGGGCGATAAAGCGAGGAAAAGACTGTTACATTTATTCCGAGACGA